AATCGATCTAATGCCCTCGCAACGGTAACGGGGAGTCTTCTTCTCAGAAAGGTAAAACAGTGGGTCCCCTTCAGCCATTTAGTCAGAGCAGTGAGAAGACATATGTTGCGATATGTTAACATTTCGATTGTTCTCATCAGTCGCAAAACACAATACAAGCGGGATTCATGGACAGTTATATACAGGGGGAAAAGGTTGATACACCAATCAAAATGTTAAAATCAAGACCACGGTAACTTAATTGATTGTCTCAATAGTTTCTGTGCACACAACGCAGGTTGATAAGCCTTAATTAACAAGGCCTCACTGATTGCCAAGATTAGCGGATTGTTGTTACGTAACAACACCTTGAACGCAGTCTCCGGGTTCACCTGATGTCGGGTTGCCAAGAGATGCTTGGTGATAGACGATGCGGGACTCCGGTTCATCCTCGGATCCACTCCGTTTTGTTGCGTCATCAGTTGTTCCAACCACCTCGGCACATGTTCAGCTACCCTCTGAGCTAACTGACGGTCAGTCCTGCCTATGTAAATGTCACCGCAACCGCAGGTGAACTGGTAAACGACGTGAGAGGCCGAACTGACTGATGAGTTGCTCTGACGGTTATGAAGAACAAGGCTTCGCGTTGTATGAATGAGTCGCAACTGGGCGGTCGCGTAGGTGCGCGTAACGGCGGACCGGAGTTTATGTCCGATATCATTTGATACGTGGTCTCCTTTGAACGGCAGGAACAAGTAAACATTCTTTTTCTCTGCGGTTAACACCGGTATTTTCTCCTTGGGAGGCCTGCTGTGGATCTGAACGAACTTCTCAGGATACCCATTCGACACCAAGGTTTTGAACAAAAATTCTTCTTCAGCTTGCAACATTTCGGGGCTGCATATTCGTCTGGCTCTGTAGAAAAGCGTTTTCACTAGGCCACGTTTGTATGCGACCGGGGCAAAGCTGGAAAAGTGGAGGTACTGCCCACTCCAAGTTGCCTTGCGATGAACCGTACGCTGCAGTGTACCATCAGTCCGTCTCTTAATGAGTATATCCAAAAATGGCAGACTATCATGTTGCTCCAACTCATGGGACACCGATAGGTTTGGATGAATTGAATTCAGAGCTTCCAACAGCCGCGCAAAATGTTCGTCGGTGGTGAAGACTAGGATGTCATCCACATACCGCTTGTACAACGTAGCCTCACAAATGCTGGCAGTAACTTGTCTTTCTATCAAACCGAGAAAAATGTCTGCTAGTACTGGTCCCAGAGGGCTACCCATGGCGACGCCGTCGATCTGTTTATAAGCAGTCCCCTCAAACTCGAACCGTATATTTTCCGTGCACAATAGAATCATATCCCTCAAATACTCCAGCGGCAGGCCAACAGACATGTTTTGACTCGCGATGAAATCACACAAATTTTCAACCGTCTCACGTAGAGGCACGTTTGTGAACAGGGAGTCGACATCTATTGAGTACATGTGCTCCGCACCCAGCGACACATGTTCCAGTGTCTCGACCAATTCAAAGGAGTCCTTTAGACAATATGTAGTCAGGAGTTTGCGTACTGGCTCCAACATTTTCGCTAGCCACCGCGCAACGTTGTGATACGGTGAGTTGTTCATACACATAATCGGGCGCAGTGGGTTACCTGCCTTGTGTAATTTGGGGGCGCCCCTCATTCTGGGTGTCTGAGTGCCGGTCGGTTTCAACCGTCTGTATTGCGAGTCATTGATGTAACCATGTAGTAAGAGAATCTGCAGTTTCCTCGCCACTTGCTTCTCGACCAATATGTTGTTTTCTGGTGTCTTGTCTAACTGGAATTTCCGTCTGTCCCGCAAAATAGATTCCATCTTTGCAACGTAGTCAGACCGGTCCATTATCACAATGCCTGATCCCTTATCCGGCTGCAGAAACATTAGGTGTCCCATTTGTTTTAACTCCTTGATCGCTGTATAGTGTTCGGCTTTCAGACAGCATCTCTGGCTTATCGGCGTGTTCAAGTATTGGTTCGCAATATCTACCAATTTTGCCCGGAACCAACCTGCATCTTCCATTGATCTTGGCGTATGGTCACTGAGCTGTTCATTCAAATACTCAAACTGAGCTTGCGTGTTGAGCTTATCTATAGCTTTTGGCGGCAATCGGTACTTCAGTCCAAGTGAGAGAACTTCCATTTGTGTGCGCGTGAAATGTACGGATGACAGATTGTATACATGCTTTAAGCACTCAGTAGGGAAGGCAGCATTTGGGGCTTTTGCAAGGGAACCCTGCAGATTGCGGACTGTTTTCGTTCTTGTGCGACGGATAATGTCAGCGGAAAAGACCTCAAATTTCAACCGGCAAACCAACGACAAATCTTTGAGCACGCATGCGAACCGTCTCTGCGTCTCGAGGAACTTTCTTTCTCGTTCAAGACAGGCATCGATGTGCGCCGACGCTACCCTTGCTAGATTGGTGTTGTTAATCGGTAACTTATTGCTTGACAGCGTCTTGGCAAATCGTCGCGGAAAACAACATGAACGGATACATCCTTCGTAAAAATCTCTCCGAGTGCGTTCCACAGTTAACTTGCAGCGCAAAGATAACAATCGATCTAATGCCCTCGCAACGGTAACGGGGAGTCTTCTTTTCAGAAAGGTAAAACAGTGGGTCCCCTTCAGCCATTTAGTCAGAGCAGTGAGAAGACATATGTTGCGATATGTTAACATTTCGATTGTTCTCATCAGTCGCAAAACACAATACAAGCGGGATTCATGGACAGTTATATACAGGGGGAAAAGGTTGATACACCAATCAAAATGTTAAAATCAAGACCACGGTAACTTAATTGATTGTCTCAATAGTTTCTGTGCACACAACACAGGTTGATAAGCCCTAATTAACAAGGCCTCACTGATTGCCAAGATTAGCGGATTGTTGTTACGTAACAACACCTTGAACGCAGTCTCCGGGTTCACCTGATGTCGGGTTGCCAAGAGATGCTTGGTGATAGACGATGCGGGACTCCGGTTCATCCTCGGATCCACTCCGTTTTGTTGCGTCATCAGTTGTTCCAACCACCTCGGCACATGTTCAGCTACCCTCTGAGCTAACTGACGGTCAGTCCTGCCTATGTAAATGTCACCGCAACCGCAGGTGAACTGGTAAACGACGTGAGAGGCCGAACTGACTGATGAGTTGCTCTGACGGTCATGAAGAACAAGGCTTCGCGTTGTATGAATGAGTCGCAACTGGGCGGTCGCGTAGGTGCGCGTAACGGCGGACCGGAGTTTATGTCCGATATCATTTGATACGTGGTCTCCTTTGAACGGCAGGAACAAGTAAACATTCTTTTTCTCTGCGGTTAACACCGGTATTTTCTCCTTGGGAGGCCTGCTGTGGATCTGAACGAACTTCTCAGGATACCCATTCGACACCAAGGTTTTGAACAAAAATTCTTCTTCAGCTTGCAACATTTCGGGGCTGCATATTCGTCTGGCTCTGTAGAAAAGCGTTTTCACTAGGCCACGTTTGTATGCGACCGGGGCAAAGCTGGAAAAGTGGAGGTACTGCCCACTCCAAGTTGCCTTGCGATGAACCGTACGCTGCAGTGTACCATCAGTCCGTCTCTTAATGAGTATATCCAAAAATGGCAGACTATCATGTTGCTCCAACTCATGGGACACCGATAGGTTTGGATGAATTGAATTCAGAGCTTCCAACAGCCGCGCAAAATGTTCGTCGGTGGTGAAGACTAGGATGTCGTCCACATACCGCTTGTACAACGTAGCTTCACAAATGCTGGCAGTAACTTGTCTTTCTATCAAACCGAGAAAAATGTCTGCTAGTACTGGTCCCAGAGGGCTACCCATGGCGACGCCGTCGATCTGTTTATAAGCAGTCCCCTCAAACTCGAACCGTATATTTTCCGTGCACAATAGAATCATATCCCTCAAATACTCCAGCGGCAGGCCAACAGACATGTTTTGACTCGCGATGAAATCACACAAATTTTCAACCGTCTCACGTAGAGGCACGTTTGTGAACAGGGAGTCGACATCTATTGAGTACATGTGCTCCGCACCCAGCGACACATGTTCCAGTGTCTCGACCAATTCAAAGGAGTCCTTTAGACAATATGTAGTCAGGAGTTTGCGTACTGGCTCCAACATTTTCGCTAGCCACCGCGCAACGTTGTGATACGGTGAGTTGTTCATACACATAATCGGGCGCAGTGGGTTACCTGCCTTGTGTAATTTGGGGGCGCCCCTCATTCTGGGTGTCTGAGTGCCGGTCGGTTTCAACCGTCGGAGAAATTGACTCAGTCCTCGGTCAGGCAAGCCTATCAAGAAGCACTGCATACCGAACTTCCGCTGTCTTGTCCTAATGACACGGAGCTTCAGTGGAATAGGATCTCGGCCGCCATGCACGACGCAGGAGCATCTGCTTGTGACACTATCCATCGTCACCGCACCAGTCACTGGATATCCGAGAGGTCGGTGAACCTGTTAGAATCCAAATACACCTCCCGGCTGGCTCTGAACACAATGTGACCAGACGGACTATTAGGCGTGAAGTAAAGCAGAGCCTACGTGCTGACAAAGAAGCATGGTGGACCAGTAGGGCTCAAGAAATGGAGGAGGCAAAAGAGCAGTAGGCGATTACTGCAAGCTCCTCCAGCTAATCCGCACCACTGGTCCCAGGAAATCAAGTGTCAGTGAGACAATGAGAGACAGCGCGGGTGCGCTGATACACAATAAGGAGCGCCGTATGGCTCGTTGGGCGGAACACTTTCAAGATCAGTTCAGCTGCTGCCGGACCTGTTCCTACTCAGGTGATGCGGGACGAGACATGGACGGTTAGTTTAGAGCCTTCGTCGGAGGCCGAGGTCCGAAACGTGATCATGGACCTTAATCATTTTCGTGCCGCTGGCCCGGATTCCCTCCCATCTGCACTATTTAAGGATGGAGGTGAGGTTCTCTGCAAAGCACTGACCTCCCTATTGGAACATATCTGGAAGCAAGTGTCCCGGCTAATTGGAGCGAATCGATTAGTGACAATATACAAGAAGGACAGTCGCACAGACTGTCCTAATCAAAGTGGTATTAGCCTAACGCCAGTTGTGACAAAATTATTGGCCTCGATTCTCGTTCGTCGCCTCACTACGGAACAGGGAATTTTGGATTAACGAAGAGTAGGCTGGTTTCCGCCCAGGACGTGGCTGGATAGACCAAATATTCACTCTGCGGCAGGTGCTAGAGCAGCGCCACGCATACCGCAGACCGACAATAGCTGTGTTGCTCGATTTCAAGAGTGCGTTCGATTCAGTTGATCGAGCGATTCTGTTCGCTGTTTGCTTGGAGCATTAAGGTTTTCAGGTAAGTCCCCTTCTCTCCCTCTTCTTATTCTTTATTTCATAGGTCCTCATGGTTGTATGGCAGAGAAGCATCAGTTCAAATGGCTGATTTACTGCTGTTGATGATGATGTCAGCATCTTCCATACTGGATACCTCCATTCACAGCTTCAAGTCGTCGGCGTAATTTAGGCAATCCGCCTGGATTGTGGGCGGTAAGTCTTTGATGAAGAAGTTAAAAAGCAAGGGGCCGAGGACAAAACCTTGTGGGACTCCACTAGTCAGGAGAACAGGGGCGGAAAATGTTTCGTTTAATTTCACCTGCATCGTGCGATCGCGAAGGAAATCAGAGATCCAAGGGAGAAGATTCCCGGCGATGCCGATTTCTCGGAGTTTAAGCAAAAGTCGTTTGTTCGGAACCCTGTTGAAAGCTTTGCTGAAATCCACAAACATGACGTCCATGCGTTTACCGAAATCTAGCGATTTCGCCCATTTCTCCTTAGCAACTAGTAATTTCGAGGTACATGAGCGTGCCCTTCGAAAACCATGCTGTGCACAAGAGAAGAGATTCAGTTCCTCGAGGTAGAGATGAAGAGCCTGCTTCAAGATCCGCTCCATAACTTTACACAATATCGACGTTAGGCAGATAGGACGATAGTTGGCTGGATGTTGCTTGTTCCCTCCTTTGTATATGGGTTTGACAATGCCCACTTTCCAAGCCGATGGGAGACGCCCAGCTTCAAAGGGACGACGGAAGAGCTGACAGATAGGAGGGGCGATGTACTGCGCCACAGTCCTAAGGAACAGGGGGTGCAAGCCATCCGGGCCGGGTGAAGAATGCGGATCTAAATCAAGGAGAAGTTTAAGCACAGAATTGATGTTAATGTCTACTTGATCCAACAGATAAGGAAAACTGGACACAGTGTTGTCGCAGGCGGGAGTTTCTTTCGCGAAGACAGAGGCGTACTGCTTGGCCAAAAGACTGGCTTTATCAGCGTCTTCGTAAAGTAAATTTCGATGTTCAAAGGAACACAAGGTAGGGATGCCACTGCCAGCCCTGGTGCTTCTTTTCAGATAAGAGAAAAGCATTTTGGTGTCGTTCTGGAGTGTATTGCTAATGATAGTTCATATTGCTGACGTTTCTGACGCTTCAACGTGACAAACATTCCTGGTAGTCTTGTAGGAAGAGTAATCGGACTCTGTTTGAGATTGCCTGAAACGGTCCCACAATTTGCGTCTTCTGTTCATCAGAGATCTCAATTCACTGTCAATCCAAGGTGGACCCCTCTTGAAGGACTTCCTACGGGAGAAAGGAACGACCTGCTCAATTAGAGAAGTCATTTTGGAGAGCACAAGGTTCCACGCATCATCAAGAGGAATGGGATCAGGAATACTCCAGTCCATAGCGCTTGCGGCTGTTCTCAGACGGAGTGGATCCGCATGCCAAAAGTTCCGACGACAACCACCTTGGCTATGGATCGTGAGGCGACGTGTCCATTGGAATGAAACGACACAATGATCACTTTTGCCGAAGGGTTGAAGAACTGTAGATTCGTGACATCTGACTGAGCTGGGGTGAGCACAAGGTCCAGAATGTTTGGCGTTTGGTCGGCAACAATGCGGGTTGGCATGGTGACGTGCTGAAACAAATTACAATCGATAACAGTCTCAAGTAAGGTAGCATCAAAGGAATCAGGTGGACGACCACAAAGAAGTAAGTCCCAATCGATATTAGGGGCATTAAAATCCCCACGATAAGATTGTCCTTTCCTGCACCGTGTTTCCTGATCGAATCGAGCAATTGAACTCCGGATCCCGATGGCGCTCTGTAGACAACACCAATAGTGAAGGATCTGCATCCATCATGAATACGGCACCAAAGGGCATCAAAATCACCATCGTCGTCACTAGTAGCTGCAACCAAATGGGCCTTGAGTTCGGCCTTCCAGTAAAGTATGACGCCGCCACCGGGCCTACCTCCAAGGCGGTCGGCTCGACAGAGACTGTATCCGGGGATAGAAACCTCTGAATCTATGATGTCCGCAAAAAGCCAAGTTTCGGTGAAGGCCATCAAGTCTGGGCGAGTATCTGACGCAAGCATCTGTACCTCATCAAGTTTATTTCTCAGACTGCGTACATTGGCAAAAATTACACGCAGTCCGTTCTCATGCTCTACTGTCCTGGGTTGAGGAGAATTGGCCTCCAACGGGTTCTCGGGGTTCTCCGGATTACGCGAAAATCCACGATGTGGAGGTCTGTCTCACCATTCGCTCGGCGGGACCGGAGCTCATCAATGGCTGTTTTCATTTTAATACGATCATCCGGAGAAAGATCTCTCGTGACGTAAAAAGGCTCACCTTTCAAACGTGGGGTCCGCCGGAGGATGCGTCGGCATTCCTCTTTGCTTTGGCATACAATCTTGAGGGGGCGTACCTTAGAAGGATCTTCTTGCTTCCTGCCCAGGCGGAAGGCAGAGATAATGTTTATACACAATTCATCAAACAAAATGGAAATCATTCGTTCAAGGAACCCTTGGTTATCCAGCATCCTTTCTGCAGAGGTGTCCTTGGTGGATTCTGAGGCGTTCACAATGATAAGACATCTTTCACGAGAGGGTGGTGGAGCGCGGCCAGAGATCTGCGGTTGTGGTGATGCACTGTCCTTGATCAACTTTTCCAGCTCGTTGACTTTGTCGAGAACAGATTTCATTTGGGACTGGGAAGCAGTTTTCTTGGGTTTGGACTTAGACTTCGCCTGAACATTACATATAGTTTGACTCCGACCCATTGGGACAGTGGGAGTTTTCCTCACCACGGCAGCGTATGTCTCAGTCGTGGGCTCACTGGGCAAGGCGTGTGTCAAAGGTTCTGATTGGGAAGCAGATGGGACACGGCTTCGTTTACCCGTGGGGGTAGCTGAGCCGGATTTAGGTGTGGACAGAAAAGGTGACGAAACAAGAGAGTCCAATGCATTGGAAGCTCTAAACTTCGTTGGAGTAGAATGAGGGCTCAGGACTGGCAGTCCGACAACTGTTTATTGAAGTACGGCAGCGGCTACAGGAAACAGTGATAGCCGATCTAGTATATCGTTGTACAGACTCATAGAGTTCAGGACAAATGTCGCAGCAGGCAATATGCAGCCATCCGTCACATTCAGAGCACTGTAAGTTCAAGTTCAGATGGGACTAGAACGATAGAAGATTCCCGTGAGTGTTCCATATTGAGTGGATCGTTGAGCCAGAAACTGATGAAGTGCTCAGTTATTGATAGATCTAAACCGGAACACCCGTATCGCACCCTGGCCAACCAGTTAACGCCCACGTTTTCTGCCCTAGCAGTCCCTGCTGTGGCAGTCACGTGAAGTAAGTAAAGGGTATAAAGAGAAATCGAAGGTACAGAATGAGGATGTGTACATTAAATAAGAAAATAATACCAGTGCGTGAAGAAAAGAAAATCGAAGTACGAAGATGCGATTTATTCAGGAAAACGGAAAGGTTTTGTGTTGCCACCCAAGAACGTCAAGTTGCCGCTCAAACCCCTTAACCGTAGATTCCCTGATGACACTTTTCGGAAGCACGTTCCAGTGCTAGATGACTCGGCGTGACAGCCGGATTTCCGCCCTAATCCGATCGGACCGCGGAGTGACCGCGTAGAACACAACCTAGCGGGACTGAATAGCTCAGATAAATGTGGACCAACCTTCCCAGTTACGGTAGGTTAGGATTAGGTCTCCTCTAAGCCTTCGGTAGTGCATTGAATGCATTCCCAAATTAAGTAGACACTCGAGGTACGTCTGTCCCCGAAATCTCTCGACTAACCTAGTATCCAGTCGTAAAACCTTCTCTAGCTCCAATTTGTCCCTGACGACGCAGGGCGGACAAGCCTAGACGCAGTATTCCAGATGAGGCCGAACGAAAGCCCAGAACAGTCTCGTAAAGATGTCGCCCGTCAAGACTGCGAAAGAACGTCGTGGTAACCACAACATGCGGAAACATCTGTTTGCGGCCTTCTTCCAGTTGTCGCCGGAGTGTAAAGCCGAAGAGTGTACGACGCATAGGTCAATCTGGTTAGATACAAGGGGGAAGTTCGACCCCACCGACCAAGTACTTCGTAGGAGGACAACCTCCAATTCGAAGAACTGAGCAGATTCAGATTCAGATGGACTGGAACGATATGAAAATCCCTTCAGTGTTCCTTCTTGAGCAAATCGTTGAGCCAGGAAATGATAAGGTGCTAGTTCTTGATAGATTTAAAACGAAACACCCGAAACACACCCTGATCAACTAATTACTGCCCACGTTCCCTGCACTAGCAGTCCGCGCTGTGTAGGTTACGTGCAGTAAGAAAGAAGTAGAAAAGGAAGATAAAGGGGAATGAAAGTCGTTAAAATGAAGGATAACACCAAAGAGTGAAGAGAACGACAGGATAAGAACTAAAAGTTGGAAGATGGATATGGTCAGGAGAAGGGAAAGGTTTCGTGTTGCCACCCAAGAGCGTCTAACTGACGCTCGAAACCATTAACCGTAGGTTCACTGACTACACTTTCTGGAAGCAAGTTCCAGCGCTCGATAACTCTACGCGATAATCGAGTTACCGCTCTGATCCGGTCAGAACGCGGCTTGTGTAGCTTCATGGGATGACCGCGAAGACAAGGCAATCCAGCCGGGCTAAGTAGCCAGTTCAAGTCCGGTCCAACCTCCCCTGTTAAAATGCGGTAAGTAAGGATTAGGTCTCCTCGAAGCCGTCGGTAGTGCATTGAATACATACCCAAGCTAAGTAGACAGTAGGGGGTACGATTGCCCCCGTAACCCCTCGACCAATTTGGTACCTACTCTCAAAACCCTCTCAAGCTCCATTTTGTCCCGAACAAGGCAGGGCGGGCAAGCCTGGACGCAGTATTCCAGATGGGGCCGGACGAAAGCTGAGAACAGCTTCACAAATATGTCGGCAGTTAAGACCCCGAAAGAACGGCGTATTAACCACAACATTCTGAAACCCCTACTAGCAGCCTTCTTCCAGTTGTCACCAGAATGCAAAGACGAGGAATGAACGACGCCTAGGTCTAGCTGGTTGGAGACAAGGGGGATTTCGACCCCACTGAGTACGTAGCTAGAAGGCGGGAAAGTTGTTCCTATACGAAGGACGGAACACAGCCTGATTAATAGGCAGTAGCCACAAAGTAGACCAGTCCCAGAGTCTGTCCAGGGCATGCTGTATGGCCTCAGAACCCCCAGGAACATCTACAACATTCCATAGCTTAAGGTCATCAGCAAACAATAGGGATGATATCCCAAGCTCTCCAGGGAGATCGTTTACGTAGATGGAGAACAGCATCGGTCCAAAGACCGAACCCTGTGGGGCACCGCTAAGGACCGCTTGCCTAAAGGATAAGCTGCGACCCACACGTATACACTGCTCTCTTCCCTGCAAGAACGCAGATACCCAGTGAAGGGTGCGGCCAGATACGCCGTAGGAGCTCAGCTTTTGTGATAGCCTCAAGTAGGGTACCTTATCAAATGCTTTCGTGAAGTCTACGAAAAGCACATCCACTACGTGACCATTGTTCAATGCCTCGGCCCAAGCTTCACGAGCAACCAACAAATTCGTCAGACACGAATCCATGTGGTGCACTACTGAGTAGATTAAATCTATTCAGGTGACATTCCAACGAATCTCTCACCAGATTTTCAAGCAGTTTAACCACGATGCTAGTCAGACTAACTGGCCTATAATTGGCTGACAGACTCCTGTCGCCATTTTTGAAGATAGGACAGATAACAGCCTCCTTCCATTCGGAAGGTAATGTACAGCTGTCGTGATTTCTGAAACACCATCGTCAGCGGCCCACTCAGTTCCACCGCCAACTCATGCAGAAGCTTCGGGTGAATTGAATCAGGTCCAGCTGCTTTGGAAGGGTTCAGTTCTTACAGCAGTTTAAGGACTTGCGTTTCCACCACAGTAAACTCAGCTAATAAGAACCCTCAGGTACTCTGGGGACAAGTTCAAGGCTAGTCAACGCACTTTGCACCGTTGCCGATGGAAGCCGTGCGGGCAATCGAACAGTCGTCAGGGAAGCTGGGAATGAGGCCGAAGGTGCTATCGCTGTATGCATTGATGAAACCGTGAATGTGGATGCGTAATGTCGGCACGGGACTTCTGCTGCTTTGTTCGCCCACTTTGTGAGCCCTGTGGAGGTCTGTAGTGACCTGGAGATTCCCCCGATTGATGTGTAAATCAATCCTAAATACTATGAAATCATAGTATTTCATGAACTTGTTCTCCCTAGCCTACCGTCGAGATCGCGGGGATTTGATTTTCACACGGCGTATCGTTAGAGGGGAACGTGGAGTTGAATTGCAGAATTTCTTTCCACGCAATTCTTTCAGTTCGAGTCGGGGTCACTGTTGGAAATGGTTTAAACAAAGGAGACTTCGGGTCCGTTGTGACGTCACTTTGTCTACCAGAGTAGTGAACGAATGGAATAATCTACCTGTGTCGTTGATGCGCAGTCGAAGGAATGTTTCAAACATCAATTGGATTCTTACCTGTTGAGTAAACTCGGATCTTGTTGCTTATTATGTCAATGCAGCGGTTCCATCGGAACCGACTTGCAATGTCCACCTTGATCCCTGTGACAAACGGGAGGCGATGGAGCTGACAAAGGATTTTTCCTTCTGCTCTCTACATTCCAATGTTCCAATATGCTGCACGTCTTTGTATGTGACACACCGACAACATCCGGACTATGTACATAGTCCGGTTATCCGATCGCACTCAAGTCCTTACTACATACTCCCTAGCTATTCATCTTCCAGTGCCTTATTTATAGTCTTAAGATTTAACAAGCTCTTAAAAAACATGTTTCTAGCCTATTTCAGTGTGTTCTGATGCACGCTTTTGGTTGGCCATTGCGGGCGACTAATTTTTGTACGGAAAAATTGGCGTGGCTAAATTGGATACGCTTTTATAACTGGATATGAAAGAGATACATACGTGTCGCTTAGTTCATTAGTATTCACAAGAAAGGGTATTTGATACGATTTAATAGTAGTGAATCTCACGCTGTTTTAAATGACGGTAACATCGACAAGTGCAAAGTCATGCACATTGGGCAAGGTGTGGCTAATCCGTACAATATCGGTGGTGTGCATCTTAAAGCCACATCCCAGGAACGCGACCTGGGGACCATAATATCCGCCGACCTGAGCCCGAGCGCCAATGTAGCTACACTGGCGCGAAAGGCTAGCGTTCGCCTGGCCCTCCTTGGACGTGCACTAGGGTCTTTCCCTAGAGAGACATTTGTCCGTCTCTATAGCACTTTAGTACGTCCGCTGCTGGAGTACAACATACTTGTCCAGCCGCCGTACCTGAAGAAGGACGAGGCCATGCTGGAAACTGTACAGCGCAGAGCCACTAAGAGAGTGGACGGACTATCCCACTTCTCGTATGAGGAGCGTCTGGCGGCCCTTAACCTCTTCCCGTTGAAATATCGCAGGCTTCGTGGCGACCTTATCTTAGCTTATTCCGTCCTGACTAATAACAGACACCCAAACGCAGGATTGCTGGTCCGCGCCCGTACAGATCATCTTCGAGGGCACTCACTCAAACTGATGACTCGTAGCAGTCGCCTTCTGTGCCGAAGAAACAGTTTCAGTGTGCGTACTGCCTTCGCTTGGAACGCCCTCCCCGAAGCTGTTGTCTCAGCGCCCAATACGGAGGCCTTCAAACAGCGCCTAGACGCTTGGCTCTTACCTCGCTGGTCTTCAACGTTGCTAAGATCTGGCCATTTGCCAAGCTAACACGCGGCGCTTCCATCATTTTGCTTCTATCCAACTTTGCCGAATTTACCTACACCACTCTCTTGTTCCAGGTATCCACGTTCCCACAGTCAACTCGCCGAATTCTTGTGCTGAACACCACTACTGCGTCGAGAACCACAACATCTGGTACCTACCGACGAGATCAGGACCTTGCCGTAAGATCCCGAGGCAGAACCACCGAAAAGCTACGCTTACTCGTTCTGCGCAAACACGTGAAACCCGTGAAACTGTAGGAGGTCTAACTGGTTATGGAGCGCCACGTTGAACGACACCGCTGTTTTTTGCCCTATGGTCTGCCATCGTTATAAAAGCTGGGAGGAAGTGGAAGAAGTTGGTCGCAACTTCCAATTTGCAACTGCCTATATTTTTTTTAAAATATGCGAGTGGCTAATTTTTGACATGAAAAATAGGCCTGGAGGGGCTTTGTTTTCCGGTACACCTGGCTAAATGGTTCAGTTCAGTTCAGTTCAGATGGGGACTGGAACGATAGGAAAATCCCGTGAGTGTTCCATCTTGAGTGGATCGTTGAGCCAGGAATTGATGAAGTGCTCAGTTATTGATGGATCTAAAACGGAAACACCCGTATCGCACCCTGGCCAACCAGTTAATGCCCACGTTTCCTGCCCTAGCAGTCCCTGCTGTGGCAGTCACGTGAAGTAAGCAAAGGATAGGAAGAGAAATCGAAGGTACAGAATAGGGAAGTGCACTTAAATAAGAAAATAATACCAATACGTGAAGAAAAGTAGAGAAAAGAAAATCGAAGTACGAAGATGTGAGTTACTCAGGAAAATGGAAAGGTTTCGTGTTGCCACCCAAGAGCGTCAAGTTGCCGCTCAAACCCCTTAACCGTAGATTCCCTGATAACACTTTCCGGAAGCATGTTCCAGCGGTCGATAACTCGGCGTGACAGCCGGATTTCCGCCCTAATCCGATCGGACCGCGGTTTGTCCAGCTTCAACGAATGACCGCGTAGAACAGACAATCTAGCGGGACTGAATAGCCAAGACAAATCTGGACCAACCTTCCCAGTCAAGATACGGTAGGTTAGGATTAGGTCTCCTCTAAGCCTTCGGTAGTGCATTGAATGCATTCCCAAACTAAGTAGACGCTCGGGGTACGTCCGTCCCCGTAATCCCTCGACTAACCTAGTACCCACTCGTAAAACCCTCTCTAGCTCCATTTTGTCCCGGACGAGGCAGGGCGGACAAGCCTGGACGCAGTATTCCAGATGAGGGCGAACGAAAGCCGAGAACAGCCTCGTAAAGATGCCGCCCGTCAAGACTCCGAAAGAACGTCGGATTAACCACAACATGCGTAAACCTCTGCTTGCGGCCTTCTTCCAGTTGTCGCCGGAGTGTAACGCCGAAGAGTGTACGACGCCTAGGTCAACCTGGCTAGATACACGGGGGAGTTCGACCCCACCGACCAAGTACTTCGCAGGAGGACAACCTCCTCCAATTCGAAGAACGGAGCACTTTGCCTGATTTATGGGCAGTAACCATAAAGTAGACCAGTCCCAAAGCTTATCCAATGCTCGCTGAATAGCTTCGGAACCCCCAGGAACATCAACAATGTTCCACAGCTTCAGGTCATCAGCAAATAGCAGCGATGGTACCTCAAGCTCCGTGGGTAGGTCGTTCACATAGATAGAGAACAACAGCGGTCCAAGGACCGAGCCCTGCGGCACGCCGCTGAGGACAGACTGCCTAAATGACAGACCCCGGCCTACCCGTACACATTGTTCTCTACCCTCCAAGAAGGCAGTCACCCAATGAAGGGCGCGGCCAGATACCCCGTAGGAGGACAGCTTTTGCGCGAGCCTCAAATGGGGTACCTTGTCAAATGCCTTCGAAAAGTCGACGAAAAGCACGTCCAGCGTGTGGCCGTTATCCACTGCATCCGCCCAATTTTCGCGAGCCACCAACAGATTCGTCAGACACGAAAATCCCTTCCGGAATCCGTGTTGTACATTGCTAAGTAGATTAAATCTACTCAGATGACTCTCTAATGAATCTCTCACCAGTTTCTCGAGGAGTTTGATTACTACACTCGTCAGACTAACTGGCCTGTAATTTGCAGGCAGACCCCTGTCCCCATGTTTGAAGATGGGACAGATGACAGCTTCCTTCCATTCGGAAGGCAATGCACAACTGTCAAGCGATTTCTGAAACACAATAGCGAGCGGTCCACTTAGTTCCGCAGCCAACTCATGCAACAGTTTCGGGTGAATTAAATCAGGCCCAGAGGCCTTAGAAGGGTTCAGCCCTTGTAACAGCCTACGAACTGCAGTCTCCGCTACAATAAATTCAGATAGTTCTGAACCCTCTGGAGTCCTGCAAACCAGCTCAACGCCTGTCAAAGAGGTTTCCCTTACAAACGCTGCCGCATATTGCCCACTGAGTACGCAGGCCTTGTCATAATCCGTATGCGCATGAGTACCGTCATCACGCATCAATACTGGAATTGACATTTTCGAACCGCAGCGTCTTTTGACATAAGCGAAGAATCTTTTTGGATTCTCTGAAGCTTCGTCCGCTAACCCTTTTTCAAAAGTGAGCCGAGCATCCCTTAGGTGTTGCTTACACCTATTTCTAGCTTTACGGTACCTGTCATAAGTATCGGTAGACGGAGCGTCTCGGTAAGTCCGCCAACATCTAGATCTCTTTGTGAGCAGATGCCTGCCAGTGGGATCTATCCAGGGCGGCTGTGCTCGGGCCTCCTTTCTCCTTGTGACTGGTATGAAGGGAGCAGAGACCTCTGTGAGGTAGGACTTAAATTTATCCCAGGCAACCTGGACAGTATCGTCGTCTGAGATCTCACAATGGAAACCAGAAGCCTTGGCTCTCATTGATTGATAGTCTGCTTGCCATATGTTCGGGCGAGACTCAACAGTACTCTGGTAGCGTCTAGACAGAGTACAATTGAAGAGCAAACAAACATGATCACTGGAACCCAGTGGAGGTCCGTAAGTAATGTCACCAACAAAGTCGAGTGACTTAGCGAATACAAGGTCTAAGATAGACGGTACTTGGGCGTCCATGTACCTAGTGGGGAGGTCAATGAACTGGTGCAAAGATACTTGGAGCGTAAGTTCAAGCAGATCAGCGCCGAATGTGCCTGACGCTGAGTCGCAAGAAAGATCTGCCCAACAAATCTCTGGGAGGTTGAAGTCGCCCATCACCAAACACTTATTTGCGGACTGGGAGCGAATGAAGTCAAGTACCTCTTTGGATACGCTCCCAGGGCTTCTATACACAATTACAACTGTAACCTGAGCCGAGGATGTGCTAATAACAGCCGACAGAGCTTCAACAGTTTTGTCTGCTGACTGAAATAGGCAAGTCTTCAAAACGTCAAGTTTACAGCTCACATAAAGAGCGACGCCCCCTCCCTGTCGGCCAGCAGAGCGATCGCATCTAAATAGTGCGTAGCCCGATAGATGTACTTCACCATCCGTGATGTCCTGAGACAGCCACGTTTCAGTGAATGCGAGTATATCGGGATGAGACCCATCTACAAGCAGACCTAACTCGTACACCTTATTCCTTAGGCTGCGCACATTACTTAGCACTATCTGAAGTTTTTCGTTAGATCCAGACCTGGGTCGTGCGCTACCAGTACTGGCACTGGTAGGGCGGAAAAGGACCGCCGGCTGACCACCCGAAAACCCACTAACCGGAGACCTTGTTCACCGGCCGCTCGCCTGCTTTTGAGGTCCTTGATGGCCTCCCTTAGCTTCAGCCTATCGGCTAGCGGAAGGTCCGGCTGAACGCTAATGTTTGTACCTTTCAGCTTAAACGCAAACCGCATGAGAGCATTGCGTTCCTCCGGGGTAGAGAGTACCACACGAAGTAGCCGCGGTCGCGGGTTTGGTACGTTAACTGGGACGTTCCCCAGTCTAATCAGCTTCCTGACAGTAACGCCTGGAAAACCAGGCGGAAGAAGCCTCGTTACGCACATTTTAAACCATTGAAGGTCGTCCAACATGCGATCAGCGGGAAGGACAGCAGTAGATTCAGCCGCGTTACGGAATATAACGCTACTATCCGTGAAAGAATCGCCGCGACGGGGTGTATTAACCCCACGGGTCTTTGATTCGGCACTCGGAGCAGGTGGCTTCACTACTGGTAATGGAACTGTCTTTAGCCCCTCCGATGATGTAGCAACGGCAGCGTATGTTTTTCGCTCCATTGTCGATGTCTTACTTTTGTTAGGGTCATCGATTTCACCGGAAGGCTTTATAGCAGATTTTATCTGCTTTTTCTTCTTGATAACAGGAGTAGGGTCCCGTGGGGCTTTTTCGCTTTGAGCAGAATCAAGCACACCTTCAGAATATGTCTTCTCGGTGAGAACCAAGATTTCCGGCAACTTCGGCTGATAAGTAGTGCGTGTTGTGATCTTCGCCTTCGCACAACCGTCAGACGGTTTGCCAAGTAACGACACTTGGCCTGTTACCGGTGCCGAGACAACTTCTTGTTTAGCAGAGAGCTTACGAGGTTTCCTGGCTCTTCTTCGCTTAACTCGAAGTGACCCTTGAACCAGCAATTCGGCATCGATCAGCGTAGGTATAGATACGACGTCCGAAGCTGCTTCATTTTTGTGGTCGGTAGCCATCTGGACCGGTGACATAATGATAGGTGCCACAAGCTGATCATCAGTGTAAGCGATCAAATCTGCTTTGTTGGAGACCGGAAGCGTCGTCATAAGCAGATCAATCTTTGAGCGAAGATCAGAGAGCATCGAGAACGAACGCTCTACATTTCGCAGCCGGGTATCAAGAGATTCATCTCTCGTACGAAGGACTGTGCGGCCTTGCCGGCGGCTGCAGCAATTGGCACAACGGAACAGCAACTTTTCGCTAGAGGCCAGCGCTGCGTACTGCTCGGTATTTAGCTCCGTACAAAGCTGATGGTACCATCGGTTGCAGACATCGCATTGCATACCGCCTGAATCGTCAGTTACTGGTACATTGCAGCTTGGTCCGCCACAAAGTGCGATAACCTCAGAATCCGAGCCATCAGGAACAACAGCCTCGGTGCATTGCGAGACCGACATAGTGGAAAACAGAGTGATTATAACACGTATGCAATAGTTAAACGACCACAATAAAAAAGCAAAAAACTGAGTGCAAAACGGGGTTAAAACTGGGAAAAACTGGAAAAATTACCAGTAAGCGCCAAAGACGCTTTGACCAGAACCGCTTTAATCGATCCAAGATATCTTGGATCAGAGGAAATTTGACAATAGTCAAATTTCGTTTCAAGTGTTTATTCAAACACTGTTTTCCACGTTAATTCAACTAAAAATCTCGATCAGTATGGCACGCCAGAAAGTCAAGTTACCGCGTAGCACTCACAGGACAAAGGGAGGGTATATTACTTGTAAATTTCGTTTATTTATCGCGATTTTAAAAAATAAAAACACAATAATCAGACAAGAGATATGTATTCTCCTTATCCAAGCAAGTAACTTACTGCTGTAGTGCAACTGAAAACATGCTCTTTCAGTATCTTATAACATTGGATTTTATGGTTGTTTTAACCTTCGAAACGTCCATTTGTTTAACTGACTGCACATCCATGGTCACAAACCGTTTTGGTGAGTTCCACGCTGCACGTTCCTCGCTCTCTCTGATTCGCTTCCTATTTTTGTAGCCTGTACAATATACGTTGGGTTCAGTTGCCTCCGACTTCTATACTGTCGTATTTGACACGTCTTACGTGTCATTGCTTACCGACTAGTATCCCAGGTTCCGCCCAACAATTGGTGACCCCCTGTCAGGAACACGCCGCCCGCCATTTTGCATTTTCATTCTGGTGAGCTCGTTCCAGTGATTTTGTGATTCATTACTTGTGATCATATTGTTTTCTCACCTACCACATATTTTATCTGCTTTTTGCAATGGATAATCTAGAGGATAAGCCGTCTCCATGCGCGGTTAACGCCGTTCAGCCTGCCATGGTCAATTCGGTTGCATTGGCCCCTCCCCCTTTTTGGGAGAATGACCCTTTATTATGGTTTTTACATTTAGAATCCGTATTTTATATTCGTAAGATTTCTTCTGATTTCGCCATGTATAACCAGCTAATATCTTGCCTTCCTTATAGTATATCCTCGCAGGTGAGAGACATCATACTTTGCCCCCCTCTAGTAATGAAATACGAGACACTTAAACAGGCTATTATTCAGCGAATCACGCCTTCTGACAAGGTCCGTCTGCAGCAACTATTTAGTGATCTGCAGCTAGGAGATAGGATGCCTTCAGCCTTGTTGCGCGAAATGCAACAGCTCATCGGCACGTCCAACATGGACGTAGGGCTTCTCCGCGAGCTGTGGATGCAACGCCTTCCTGAAAGCACACAGGCTATCCTTGCAGTAGCAAGTGACTTGCCCATCACAGCAATTGCAGATCTAGCAGACCGCGTCATCGAACGGCACCAGCCAGAGACTGAAACCAAAGCACTTAAGCAGCTTTGCGCTGGCGCAACCACGACAGGCGCGACTAGCCCTCCGTCGGCAATAGACGCATTATCATTGCAGATAGCGTCGCTTCAGCGCCAGATCAAAGAACTCACCTTAAAACGTAAGCACCGCAACCGCTCTGGATCATCGCCCCGTCGCACAAAACCTGATGCCTTAGGTTACTGCTTTTACCACTCGCGTTTCGGTACTAAAGCATGTAAGTGCGTACAGCCATGTAGCTACTCCGCTATAGATGATCCGCCACGCCGGGCCGTAATGGCGACGAACGTCGGCAAAGCTCCAAGTCGTCTCATCTACATTAGGGATTATGGCTCCGATACCCAGTTCTTAGTTGATACCGGGGCGGAAGTCAGCGTCATTCCCCCTATGCCAGGTGAGCCTACCGCTTCTCTGTCGACAAGCCTCAGTGCCGCCAATGGCACGCCAATAGCCACCTATGGTCAGCGGTCACTTACCCTGGACCTAGGTCTTCGGCGCACGTTCCGCTGGGTATTCACTGTCGCTGCAGTCCCCTTTGCCATCCTCGGCATTGACTTCCTCAGGCATTTCGACCTCTTGGTCGATGCGAAACGCCAGATGATAGTCGACACTGCAACAAAACTCAGCGTACGTGGCATCACCGCCGATGTGACATCTATATCCCCGGTCTATGCATTTCCCCAGACCTCGTCAGCCTACGCTAATCTCCTTTCTCAGTATCCAAAGCTCGTTCAGCCAATGAACGCAGCTTTGCCCGTGGCAGCTCAAGTCACGCACCACATACGGACGAATGGCCCACCTGTGGCATGCCGTCCACGCCGACTATCGCCTGAGAAACTAAAGGTAGCTAGGGCGGAGTTTGAGCACATGCTTGAACTTGGAATAATCCGCCCTTCCGACAGCCCTTGGTCCTCGCCCCTACAGATGGTGCCCAAGAAATCTGGTGACTGGCGTCCTTGCGGTGATTACCGCGCACTCAATCGCCTAACCGTCCCAGATAGGTATCCCATCCCACACATGCAGGACCTTACCGCATGCCTCACAGGTAAGACGATCTTCAGCAAGATCGATCTGGTTCGCGCCTATCACCAGATACCTGTGGAAGACAATGACATTCCCAAAACAGCCGTAATCACTCCTTTCGGTTTGTTTGAATTTTTAAGGATGCCATTTGGACTGTGCAACGCCGCACAAACCTTCCAGCGCTTCATCCACGATGTTACTCGTGGCCTAGACTTCGCATATTCCTACCTCGATGATATCTTAGTAGCCAGTTCATCGGAACAAGAGCACCTCGAGCATCTTCGAGCTCTCTTCCAGCGCTTGACCCAACACGGTGTCACAGTCAACCCGACTAAGTGCGAACTCGGCAAATCAACGGTAGAATTCCTAGGCCACATCGTTTCATCGTCTGGTATCGAAGTCCTTCCTGATAAGATCCAGGCAATCAAGGACTTCCCAGCTCCGACTTCCTTCAAGCACCTCCGTCGATTTTGTGGTTTGGTCAACTACTATCGACGCTTCATTCCGCGCTGCGCTCAGCTCATGCAGCCACTGACTGACTTACTCAGAGGAAATGAACGTAAGTTCGCTTTCCCTGACACAGCACAGGCAGCCTTCGCCGAGCTCAAGGATGCTATCTCCAACATAGCCCTCCTCGCTCATTCCGAATCGACTGCACCTCTTTCTATTACGACTGATGCCTCAGACGTAGCAGTAGGAGCCGTCCTCCAACAACACGTTGGTGGGCGCTGGCAACCCCTTGGGTTCTTCTCCAAGCGCCTGCAGCCAGCGGAATCCCGCTACAGCACGTTTGGCAGAGAACTGCTCGCCATTTACCTAGCAATACGTCACTTCCGGCACACACTTGAAGGCCGCGCTTTCACGGTCTACACTGACCACAAGCCCCTTATCTTTGCCTTCAACTCTGCTAGCGACAAATACTCACCACGGGAAACAAGACACCTAGACTTTGTCACGCAGTTCACTGCTGACATACGTCATGTCTCAGGTGTCGACAATCCCGTCGCCGACGCTCTCTCACGCGTCAACCTCACTCTCCAGTCTTTGCCTACCGTCGACCTTGCCGCAATGGCATCGGCTCAGGCTCAAGACGAGGATATACAGCGCACTCTGCAGTCCACTTCGCTGCATGTGCAACCTGTTCCTCTCCAAACCACGGAAGGAACCATCCTCTGTGACACGTCCACAGGTTGTCCTAGACCTCTCGTGCCCGTCTCCTTCAGACGCACAGTCTTTGACGCACTTCACTCACTGTCACATCCTGGTATCCGTACATCTTTGAAACTGGTCACCGAACGTTTCGTTTGGCCACGCGTAAACAAAGATGTTCGTACCTGGGCTCGCGCCTGCCTTCACTGCCAGCGCATGCGTTCACTACGCCCGACCCCGCCCCGTGAACAGACTAGAGATGTGCAAATGCACAGCGGACTCTCTACCTGCACTCACGTCTTCCTCCGCACCGACGCAGTGCGGCGCCCTCTCCAGCCTCCCTACACTGGCCCTTTCAGAGTTCTGCAGCGGACTCCGAAACATTTTACTATAGACCAGAATGGTCACCGAGCAACGGTGTCCATCGACCGCCTCAAAGTGGCTTCCTTTGACGAGCCACTTGCAGCTCATCCTGATGCTCTCTCACAAGCACCCGCACCTGTGGTGACTTCCCGAGCACTGGATAACCCGGATCCCTCCGTACCCCTTGACCCGCAACCTATCCCGCCTCAACCCCTGGCAACCGACCGACGCGGTAGACAGGTCAAACGTCCGGTCCGTTTTTCCGATTTTGTAAGCGTTTGCTATTTCCATTAACACGCCTTTTTCGTATTTAATGGTTATCCTGCGTCTCACCCACAAACGTTTTGCAAAATCGATAAAAAAACCCAAAACATTTTGAAAAACCTAAAAAGCGTATTTGCTTTTATCATACATGCCATGTCCCCTCTCCGGCGTCAAGCCACTTCCCAGACCCTTGCCAACCCCCTCTGAGTTCTATCTTCCAGAAACTCAACCGCCGGAACCGCCCAGGCAACCCTCGAGTGACGCGCCAACCGGCTCAACACAACCCTGGAGTGACTCGCCAGCCGTCCCACAGCCCCCATCCTCACCCCATTCCCCGCCCTCGATCGCAGACACCCGCGAAGGATTGGTCCCTAAACGCCGCCTAGGCATTGCCGACGAGGACGCCGGATTTCTTCGTGGGACGAGGACGCCCCGCATTCCTTCGTGGGACGAGCACGCCTGGATTTCTTCGTGGGACGAGGACCGTGAACTAAAGTGCGGTGGGGGGAGTGACACCTCCCAAGCGCACCGTCGGGTCTGCAGCAATGGGAAGGTCCTGTCGGCCTTTTTTCTGGACTAGCCAGTTTTTTTTGCAGTCCGACCAGCCCGCCCCGACGGCCCACCGATGATGCACTCTGGTCCACACGATCGTCATAAATAAAACTAACAAAAGCCTGGACCCAGCGAAATCTGCTACACCCCACTTTGGAAGCTATTCTCAAGCCCCTGCAAACATTTGCATCCACCCTCACCTTCCGTTCCCCCCACTAACAGCTCCATCGAAGGCTTCCATCCTTCAGCCTTCTAGGGGGAGGCCCTTGTAGTGCAACTGAAAACATGCTCTTTCAGTATCTTATAACATTGGATTTTATGGTTGTTTTAACCTTCGAAACGTCCATTTGTTTAACTGACTGCACATCCATGGTCACAAACCGTTTTGGTGAGTTCCACGCTGCACGTTCCTCGCTCTCTCTGATTCGCTTCCTATTTTTGTAGCCTGTACAATATACGTTGGGTTCAGTTGCCTCCGGCTTCTATACTGTCGTATTTGACACGTCTTACGTGTCATTGCTTACCGACTAGTATCC